GGGGGATTTTGGGGCCATTCTGGGGGATTTTGGGGCCGTTCTGGGGGATTTTGGGGCCATTCTGGGGGATTTTGGGGTTGTTCTGGTGGATTTTGGGGCCATTCTGGGGGATTTTTGGGGTTGTTCTGGTGGATTTTTGGGGTTCTGGGGGATTTTTGGGGTTGTTCTGGGTGATTTTGGGGCCGTTCTGGTGGATTTTGGGGCCGTTCTGGGGGATTTTGGGGCCATTCTGGGGGATTTGGGGGTTGCTCTGGTGGATTTTGGGGCCGTTCTGGGGGATTTTGGGGTTGTTCTGGGGGATTTTGGGGCCATTCTGGAGGATTTTTGGGGTTGCTCTGGGGGATTTTGGGGTGACCCCACGCCGTCCCCAGCAAAAGGGACATCGAGCTGCTGCTGAAGCTCGTGGCCAACCTCAACATGCTGCTCAAGGACGAGAACGTCAACGTGGTCAAAAAAGCCATCCTGACCATGACCCAGCTCTACAAGGTGGCCCTGCAGGTGAGGACACCTGGGGACACACCTGGGGACACACCTGGGCCGCTCAGGTGTGGCCCTGACACAAAAAAACCGCGAGTTTCTACTCAAAACTGGAGAGAAAATTCAGATTTTTTTTTTTTTTTGTTAAATCCGGTGGTTCTGGGTTGGGGGATGCTGGTTGAGTTGATGTTTGTTAATTATTTTTATTGATTAATGTAATTATGCATAAAAGGATCTTTAATGTTTAATGTAATTGTTGTAATTGCCGTAAAATTGACATTATTAATTTGATATTTGATGCAATTACTGTAATTGGATGTAAAAATGGATTTAATATTTGGTACTAATTACTGTAATTAGACATTAAAAATGGGTTTAATATCAATGTAATTACCGTAATTGCAGATAATAATGGCATTGATATTTGATATCGATTACCGTAATTACACGTTTAAAGGTTTTAATATTAATGTAACTACCGTAATTACAGATAATAATGGCATTGATATTTGATATCGATTACCGTAATTACACGTTTAAAGGTTTTAATATTAATGTAATTACCGTAATTACAGATAATAATGGCGTTGATATCTGATATCGATTACCGTAATTACACGTTTAAGGAAGGCTTTAATATTAATGTAATTACCGTAATTACAGCCATAAATGGCTCCGATATTTGGTGTCAGTTACCGTAATTACGCATAATAATGGCATTGATATTTGAAATCAATTACCGTAATTACACATAGAAAGGGCCTTCATATTTAATACCAATTACCGTAATTACAGAGATCAATGGCTTTGATATTTGGTACCAACTACCGTAATTACACATAGAAAGGGCATTCATATTCAATACCGATTACCGTAATTACAGAGATCAATGGCTTCGATATTTGGTACCAACTACCGTAATTACAGAGATCAATGGCTTCCATACTTGGTACCAACTACCGTAATTACACATAAAACCCCGCCTTATTTTTCCCCTCAACCTTCACCGCGATTACCGTAATTACCCATTAAAAATAACTTTTTTTTTTTTATTTTTTCCCCCCAATTCCCGGTTTGTTTTTTTTGTTTTTTTTTTTTCCCCTGGGGTGGGTGGTTCCCAGTGGATGGTGAAGTCCAAGGTGATCAGCGAGCTGCAGGAGGCCTGCTGGGAGATGATGTCATCCATGGCCAGTGACATCATCCTGCTGCTGGACTCGGACAACGACGGCATCCGCACTCACGCCATCAAGTTCGTGGAGGGGCTGATCGTGACGCTGTCCCCACGCACGGCCGACTCCGATGTCCCCAAGAGGCACGAGAGTGACAT